AAAAAAAAAAGCAGCAGCATAGCACATGCAGAGGCAGTATGCGCTGCTCAAAACCAGAGCCTGGCCAGCTGAAGTCATGCTCCAGCTGCCGGCCAGCCTCCAAGAGGCAGGATTGCTGCTGCTGCAGCCCCAGGAGGCCCCCAGAACCTCAGATATGACTCCTGGGGCCAGCCCAGTGCTGGCCTTTGCCTCTCCTACCCCACCTGGGGTAACTTGCTACGTGCCAGAGGGCACGTGGCACAAGCATTCCATGGGGACAACTAGTGGTGGCACAAGGTGTGCTTCTACTCATTGTCCCAGGGAATCAAATATCCACTCTCATGTGGACACAGCCTGAGAGAGCAAGGAGGTCACAGATAAATGTGGGCCCTACTTATCAAATGTTTTTATAACTTCTGCCAGAGAGGTTAAATGTCAGCTGTACACACAATGTATACACAAAGCTAAAATGTTGTCTATGTGACTTGTGAGGTATTGTCATGACTAGGAAAAGTGATCAGGTTTTGGCTGGGTTTAGCTAGCACACACAAGTAAAGCCAGATCCAAACATGACCTTTTCCCTCTAGTGCTGAGACAGGTTATTGCCTAGAGGTTCTTAGCTAAAGTGTAACTTGAGCTGACATATGAAGCCAAATGTATAACCCTGCATTATAATGGGGGAAATGTTTAAGTTTGCTTTGCCCTTTACTATCACAAGTAGAAGGCAGGGTAGATTTTCACCTTTATAAACTAACCAAAGTAGATCATATCTATAGGACAAGCTGTTGTGGGCTGAAGCTCACTTCATGTCATGCTGTGAAAGGATGCGCACAAAGCAGTGTTTAAGAAGGAGAGAGAGATTTGAATAGAAAAGGTAGAAGGGAAGGAGAGAGAGAGAGATGCAGGGGCAGAGGGAGGAGGACCTAGTAACATGGCTTATAACATCCAAGGTTCATTCACCCACGTCTCTACCAATTTCATATATGACATCACTTGCTTGGGGTGACCATCTGACATTGGCTGCAAAAAGACATACAGGCCTGTGGCAGAACTCTTTAGCCTCCCTGGGCACTCTTGAAGGTGGAGCCATCTGAGGGTGGCTCTTCTTAGGCAGCTGACTCTTCTTTCAAGCGGATTTGAATGGGAAACTGGGGAAAAATCATCCACAGACTAGATTGTGTTAAGTATGTTTTAAATGGGGATTATGGATTCTTATCCCATTACCTGGGTTAGTTTTGTGACTCCTTTTTCCTGTGGGTGTATTGCTTGTTCCTTTGCCCCTTCCAGCACCCAACCTTCTGTCTTTTGTATTTAAGTTTCTCTCCTTCTTACACTCTGCTTTATGCACATTTCTTTCACAGCATCTGATTAAGTGAGCTTCAGCCCATGGAAGTGTGTTCATGCTCTCTCTCTCTCTCTCTCATTTATTTTGGTTAGTCTGTGAGGTGCAAATCTATCCTGCCTTCTGCTTGACTTCAGGCTAACACTGCTAGCTGTCTCTTTTTACCATCACAAGTCTGCTAAATTGGACCTAAATCATATGGCTTTTCAAAGTCAAGGTAAAGCTTATGTGTGGAGAAGCCACCCAAGAAAACTAAGAACTCACTTTATTGTCTATGACTACAATTTCAGCACCTTTTCACAGCCACTAAAATACATTTTAAGGACAAAATAGTTTAAGGAAAAAAATGTAAATACAGCTGTCTAGTGTAAGAGCTGGCATGACTGAATGCAGTTATTAATGTTCTAAGTTTTCAGTCAGATATTCTGAGTTTTGAAGATGGCTCTTCCTCACTTTTTTTTGTTACCGTTCCTAGCCTTGTTCTGGGGTGGAGGACACCACTGGGGCTACAGGTCTTCAGCCTTTTGAATGGGTACACTAATAAGATACCGGCTTTTGCAACAGGGTTTTGTGATGCAAAGATCTATTCCTTCTGGTGTGATTGGGTCTCATTTTACATGGTCACTGGAATGGGCACTGCTTTTAGTCCCAGACCAGTGACAGCTGTCTATCTTGGGTACTTCCATGGTCCTGTGATGGGGTGTTCAAGTCTCCTGGATAGAGCTAGCAAGCAAGGGCTTGTGGAGGTGGGAATGCAAGAAAGAGTATTTCATTCAGTTGGGAGTTGCCCAGGATGAAGAACTGTCTGGAAACCTGGTGAGAGCAAGGAGTCTGAGGCTACTTGCTGGCTGAACACTTTTCCCTGGATAGGATAACCAAACTCTGAGGGACTAAATTGCTTTGTTTAAAGACAAGCCCTGACTGATGGATAAATTCCTTCTGAAGACTCATTGGGAGATGCTGTGAGGCAGTAACCGACCAATACAGGCCTTCAGATAGGGCAAGTAGTGGGCCGCTAGGCCACAAAATGGGATGCAAAGTCCTAGCCCTGTTCTGGACCTTGCCACAAACTCTGTTCTGGACCTTGCATCATGAGCAGGTCCAGGGAGGTGATCCTCCCCATCTATGCGGCATTGGTCAGGCCACAGCTGGAGTACTGCGTCCAGTTCTGGGTGCCACACTTCAGGAGGGATGTGGACAACATGGAGAGGGTCCAGAGGAGGGCCACTTGCATGATCAGGGGGCAGCAGGGAAGGCCCTACGAGGAGAGGCTACGGGACCTGAACCTGTTCAGCCTCCACAAGAGAGGCTGAGGGGGGATCTGGTGGCTGCCTATAAACTTGCCAAGGGAGACCAGCAGGCAATGGGAGAGTCCCTGTTCCCCCAAGCACTACCAGGGGTAACAAGGAACAACAGCCATAAGTTGACTGAGAGTAGATTCAGGCTAGAGGCACTACTTCACTGTCCAGGCGGCTAGGATCTGGAACCAACTTCCAAGGGAAGTGGTGCTGGCTCCTACCCTGGGGGTCTTCAAAAGGAGGCTAGACAATCACCTAGCTGGGGTCATTTGACCCCAGCATCCTTTCCTGCCCATGGCAGGGGGTCAGACTAGATGATCTGCTTAGGTCCCTTCCGACCCTACCAGCTATGAAACTGTGAAACAAGTCTTACTTTATAGTATATGAGAGCCTCAAATCTTTATGTAGTTATTTTCAACACCTTGTGAGGTAGGGAAGCATACTTACCCCTGATTTTCAGATGGGGAGCTGAGGCACAGAGGGCATTTATAGATGTGCTCCAAGAGGTAAGGGCTCTTTAATTAGCATGGCTCAGAGCTGCGCTAATTAAGGCACCTGGAGCATCACATGTATCAGCATCCCCACGCTGAAATGGCAGTGGGGTGCTTTAAACTAAAACTTGTCAAATGAGCTTTAGTTTAAAGCACCCCACTGCCATTTTTCAGTGCGGGGACATTGGTACACATGACACTGGAGTCTGCTGGAGTATGGTGATTACCATGCTCCAGCAGACTCAATTTAATCTTGATTAATTGCACCTTTTCTATTGCACTGTAATTACAGTGCATAGCAACAACCTGTGCGCAAATGTATAGGAGCCCTAAAGCAGCTAATCATCAGGTTTGCAAAGGTGCCTGAAATCAGTGGAACATACCCAATGAATCCATGTCTCTAGTCCCAGGCTATCATTTTCACTATGGGACCACCCTTAATAGGCTTGGACTCGCTCTTAATAATAACTCATTGTGGAACACTGGAGTTTGTTATAGAATACATGTGACCTTAATACAATTAGCTAGTTTCAGTTTAATTTTTGATCAGGTCTACTCCAGTCTTCTACTACAGGATCCCCATGTAAGGGTATAGGTATGCTATATACAAGGCAAGGAGAAAGGGGATACAGCTCAGTCATCCATGTACATATCTGACCTCAGGCTGACTTAATAGCTACAGGCAACCAGCCGGGCCAGAGACACTAGACATTCAAGACTGCTCTAATTTGTACCAGAGCAAAAGGCCAATACATGGAAAAATAAACATGGCTAAAAAATGACTTAGCCCACCTCACCGCCCCAAACACACACCAAGTGTAGCTCAGCCAGATGAGAGATATGTGGTAAATGTATGCTAAAAATTGTTTTTATAACATATATAAAATACAATCCAAATTCATGTGTATTATGTATATGTACGTTGTGTGTGTGTATAATTTAATGCCATTTATTGGTACAAACTACCAGGAGCTATTTTGCTTGTCAACAAAAAAAGCTTCACAGACTCCAAGAAAACAAGTTCCAGTCAGAATGACAGAAATGGTGAGATTTCTTAAATGAATGGAGTCAGGCAACCAATAGATGGATGGTTGCGACAAGTTTAGATAAATGAAAGTGTCACGTGGTTGGATGAATTGATTTGGAATGACAATAACCTCGTTACACACGGGTTTAAGAATTAATGGGATCCAATATGTGTGGGCTTGGTGACTGATTTGATGAACAAGTTTGTCAGGCTTGCTTAACCTTCCATTCCAATCAGCACGATCGGCCTGTCAGTATCAGCATTCTCCCGTACTCCCTTTTTACTTGTTTAAGCTTTAAGCATAGACTTGTGCAGCTCAAAAGAATGATACTCAGGAAACTGTTAAAAATACAGGCTTAGATAAAAAAGGCAGATCCCCTCATCTAGTTAGGGGACGGCTTGAATTTTCAGCTGTATTTTAAGGCTTGACAAATGGAATACTTGCCTTAAAATAGGTGCACTACTAAGATCTGTCATTACATTGTAAACTTTTCCTTGCCTCCCACCTAGGGCCACAAGGATTTGCTTGGAGACCCCACTTCTCTGCTGATTTCCCTCTCCTGCAACCTACAGCAGCTGTGATCACCACCCTTATGGAGGTGCCACTTCAAAGTTCCCAGATGTCTGAAGCAGCACAGCAATGGTGTTTGGGGTAGCAGGAGTAGTGAGGCCTTCTCGTTTCCTCTCTTGCCTCACAGCCAAGGTGAGGGGACTTGGTCGAGAATAATACACCCCTAGCTGGTTTCTGTTGTATCACTGTGATGCAACTCCTATCAGCACTAGCCATCACACGTTAGGGTTTTAAGGCCTCAGCTTTCCCTGAAGCAATCTCATCATCCAGAACCTTGAGATTTTCTGTCTCTTGTATGACATCCCCTAATTCCATACCAGACTCACCCAGAAGACTGAGCATTTTTGACAGACTCCATTGCCCGCAGTCTATAATTAGTTTTGCTGACATGAGTTCCCTCTCCTTACCTTGTTATGCCCACATTACCACCCCTCTGATCTTCATCAGGGACCTTCTCACTCTTGTTTCCACTGGACTCAACTAACATACTTATATATATGCATACATCATTGCATTAGTACAACCTTATCTTTGTTTGCATCATTTTTTATTGGGGTTATAGTGTAAGACATGAATTAAAACTGATATTATAAACTCACACGTTTTTATTATGGTCTAAGGGTGTCCTTTCATACTTTAGCTTATTTTGCTTGAGAATGGTCATAGATAAACACCAAAACAGCACTTGGAGCATACTGTATGGACAAGCAAACAATTTGATGTGGGATATGCATAACTGCCAGTGTGCATACTGTATCAGAACTCCTGGCAGAGGTGATATCTTTTATTAGACCAACTAGATATTTGCAAAAAAAAAACCCCTTTATTTGCAAGCTTTCAGGCACAGGTACCCTTTTTCAGGCAGAGGAGAGAGCAAAGACTGTAAAAGTATTCCTAGGTAGAAATGAAAATTCGTATTTCACAGGAAAGCTGAAGGCGCATACTGTTACTCTTCAGTCAGTGGAAACTAGCCTGGTGTAATTTAACAGTCTTTCATTTTGGTCTAAACTGCCATGGTTTAGCTTCCACTTATTGCAGGATGAGAGCCGTTACCACAGAGCAGCTGACATGTGGCAAAAACACTACCTTCATTTTGTTTCTAATGCCCATACCTTAGCATCTGTGGGGGAGTTATAAGCATCCCCTGTGTACTTTATTTCAGTGCAACTGATAAATGTTTCTTGAATACACAGGACCTAAAATTCTTAGCTTATTTGTGGAGCAGATTGAGTCTCTTTTAAGAGTTTGGATGATGCTTATTGTAC